ACACACACACACACACACACACACACACACACACACACACACACACACACGAACTCCATGAGCCAGTTAAGGTACCAGTAGGGAGTTCTTGGAGAGACTCTTGGTTCACATGCTCAAGCTTGTCAGGAGCACTGTTGTTCCTGGAGCTGGATTAAGAATTGTGCAGCCTTCAAAACTGATCATCTGTTGGCATCTCCTGAATCTTGTTCTTCTGCTTCTCAGCCCCACTCCTTCCCCTGTGTACCCTTCTAGGCTCTCAGTGCCGTGAACCTTTGTACTTTCTAGAAGCAATTTGAATGTGTTTGTTTAAAATTCAAATTATATTTAGTTAGTTTGAATAGGTTATATATCTACATGCTACAAATTTAAAACACTGTAAATGTACACAATGCAGAGTAAGGGCACCCCATTCTGAGGCAATCAACCTTACCACTTTTTTCAGTGTCTTCTATTGAAGATTTTTCTGGCTATAGTAGTAAATATGCATGTAAGAACTTTCATGTCCCATTTTGGGTGATTGGTAAAGTCATTCATACTACTGAAAAGCCACTTTCTATCCTGATAGTGTTAGCCTGTATGTATATTAAAAACATGTCATATTATGTAAAATTTTAACGTATCATATTCAGCCGGCCCTCCATGTTTGTGGGTTCTGCATTTGTGAATTCAACCAACCATGAATTAAAAAATACTCAAAAACCAAAAGAAATTGTCCCTGTGTTGAACAAATGCAAATGTTTTTCTTGTCATCACTTCCTCAACAGTACGGTAAGACCACTGCATACTGTATTTCTATCCTGTTAGCCACCTGAGGCGAGCTAGAGATGGTGGAAAGCGGGGAGGATGTGTAGGTTACACAAATGCTAAGCCCTTTTAAGTAAGGGTTTGAGCCTCCATGAGCCTTTGCGTACCCATGGGGATATTCAGGAACCAATTACCTGCAGATAAGGAAAACTGAATGCATCTGTATGCATATGTAATATATTTATGTTGTACACAAATATACACACTCCATGCACACACACACACACACACATATTTAGAATGTGAATATATCTTTTGTCATGTTTGGGGCTGTATAGGATTTCATCGTATGGGTGAAATTAAAGTGTCTTTGACCTGTTCTCTGTTATTCAACATTTAGGTTGTTTCTCATCTTACACAGGCACGGAATGAGTCATCTTGAGGCGCTGCCGTCTTGTACACATTAGTGTATTTGTAGCATAAATGCACAAACTGAGAGCTGGTCAGGGGGGAGGTAGTCTCATTTCATTTGACATAGATACAGCATTTTGTCAGTTTCCTTCTGAGCTGCTCCCCAGCAAGGCCCTGGACTATAGGTGCCTGGAGGTTGCTAATAGAGTTTGGTTCACACTGTTTAGTCCAGACAGGCTAGCACCACTGTGGAGACCCACAGAGGTTTCCTAGTGAGAAAAAAAAATCTGAGGCTGCTTTACCCAGCCAGGCTGCATAAGGGGATGATTTGACCACGTGCGTGGTTACTAGGTGTATGGAAGGGTCTGCACATGGGCTGTGTGGTGGTATGCTTTGATCTAGCAAGGGGGAGGTCTTTTGCCCCGCCCCTTGGTATTGTTATAAAAAGCCCCTTT